ATTTGGCACTCGATGTATTTTTAAGCTGTATTTGTAAGGTGGTATGCAAGACAGTCATGACAGCGCTTTGACCTACTTGTGTATTACGAAGCTAGACCGCTGCTTAATGCAAGGTTTATTTTAAAAGGAGAAAAAAAAAAAAAAGGTGTTTTGACAATAACTTCAGCAACATACTACCTCTGACATACGGACTGCCAAAAAGAAACACGCTTGCCTCGGCATGGAAGGCGCTTGTTCTAGTCCCCTGCCCGGTCACATTTTAACACACCTGCAGCCACTGCATGAAGCCTGCTCTGAAACCAGAGAGGATTGCTTTGTTCTGGGTACAGCGTGGCACGGCATGCCATCAAGGCTCCTAACTACTACAGACAACTGCCTAGAAACCTCAGTTCAACAAAAATCTTGCCAATGAGATGAACCATTTGTAATGGTTCATTGTTTAATTGTTCATCATGTAATTGTAAATGCTGTCACTCCTGAGAGTCGCCCTCCTTTCTCCCCGAGGAGGAGGAGAGGAGCCCGGTTCTGGAGAGAGGCAGGATATGCAAAACCTCTGAACCCCAGTTCCTACAGCACCTACAGCTTGTCCCTTCTGCTTGAGCTTGCCATCCGACCGACACAGCAGGAGTGACAACTCCCGTTGCTCTGGGAGGCAAGGGACCGTCTTCATCGCTATTTGCTCTCTGTACACAACTGCCAGCTCCCTGACCCCACCGAACTTGCTGGCGTGCCAAAGAGTCATCTTTGATTACCATCAGCACTGAAAATCTGATGACACGCGAGGCCCCATTGTAACGACACTGTACAAACACCTGCTGCTCCAAAGGGCTTAACATCTAAATACATCATACATACAACAAGGACATATATTTTTAATGAACTTCCACCCATTGTGAGTTTGTTAGCTTATCGCCTATCTTCTGTTTCCTATTGAAATAACAAAGAAATACCTTTGCTGGAATAATAAAGCCCTGCCCGTGATAGCCCTGGTCCATCTACAGCACGGTGATTTGACAGTACGTACAAAGAACGTAGTAGCCGTGCTGAAAATAAGAAGTGACCAAGATTATCAGCACTGATATTTTTAGCATGTTACAACCCAACACGTCAATGTAATTAATAAAGCAGCTTTAGCTCTACTGGGTTAGCCATAATCACACAAATGTATTTAAAGGATCCTAAGGTCTGATTTAATGGGACACAACCTGAAATCTACTCAGTGTAAAAATCCAGAATTTCAGACACTGCAGCTGCCTGCATTGTCTGCCAACATTTGAGGGGATAAACTTGCTTTTTCCTACAGCCTTCTTCTCCCTGTACAGGGAGACAGATCACTGCCCCTTATGCCAAGATGTCCTAAAAGGTCGAACAGCCCCACAAGACTGCTGCTCCTAATTCCTCCAGAATGTGTGACAGAGGAGGCAGAAGGCCTAATCTCAGGCTGTATCTCGGGAAAAGGGTAGGACTATCCCTGGCGCTTTGATTAACCCAAGTGCAACTCACCCTGCCACGTGCCAGGCAGGACGGAGGGGCCCTGGGCAGTGTGAAAAAGCAAGGAACCCCATCTCTGCTCCGCTCCGGCGGGCGGCAGAGCCCAGGTAAGGACTTCCACCGCCCCGTCCCTATTCCTGCCGTTTCCCCCCTCCGCTTGAAACTCAGGAAACAGCGAAGACAATGTAAACACTTTCCTTTTGTGCGCAAGCACGTCCTGTTTACATGGCTGCGGGTACAGGAGGAGCAGCTGGAGCTCTCCCCGCTGCGGGCTTCTCCCGCTGCCACCAGCGTCTACGGAGCCGGCTTGCTCCCACCACATCGTCCTCGCCACGCCGCGCTTGGTGCAGGGGATGTAACTAGGGCATGTTGCACCCCGGCTATTTCTAGTGCATGTAGGAGTCCTCCTAGGAAAAAAACCTCAAGTCCCTCCTTCAGAACAAGGTTCTCCAGTGCGGAGATGCAGAACTGAGGAGCTACTTTTTTTTTTTAACCTTAGCCACAAAGTGTAAAACGTATCCCGTAGTCTTTAATTATATGTTCACACCCTATTTCTCAAAAGATATCACAACTCTGCCATAGCTACATACACACGTATCAGCTTCTGCAACTGTTTTTTTCACTGCGTCTGACAGAGGAACATAAAATGCTAAACTACTTTACATGGAAAACACACTGTGAACCTCTTCTGTTTCATCTACAAACAAAGTAATAAACTGTGATGGAAGACAGAGGCTATCTAAGTCTGCATCGCTGCTAATTGCTCCATCACTTGCATGCTGAAAAAGGAGAAGCTGTACAGAACATACCGACCAAGGAACAGCCCCGCAAACACCTATTACAGAGTCTGCACTCCCTCGTTACTTGTAAATAGGTCCAACAACCTTCATGTTCGCTACAGTTTGAAGAATTACATCTCAAATGCACATATGTATGACTTGTCATATTTGCAGTGATAATTATATCACTATACTTCACAGCAACTTGAGATAATGTACTGAGACTTTTACCATGGCATATATAAGCATAAAACCCTGAAAAATAAGACTACACAATGAGTGTGCACTGCCCCATGTACAAAGGTCTACAGGTCAAACATGGGAATGCATTTTCTCATGCTCTGTATGAATAAGATCCACCAATATGGATACAGACATGCCAGAAAACATACCTTCTGCGGGACGTTTCTAAGATCTAATAAGAACACTATTTCTAGCAGAAGCAGAATGGCCTGGCACTTACAGTCTGGGGTAGTAATGCACAGAAGATTTAATAACATCAAAGGGCATTTTTTGGAGGCAATCACAGACATAGGGTACCCTCTCCACTGCCTTCTTGCTTGTACCTGATTGAATCATAGAATCATAGAATCATTAAGGTTGGAAAAGACCTCTAAGATCACGGAGTCCAACTATCAACCCAACACCACCATGCCCACTAAACCATGTCCCTAAGCGCCTCATCTACACGTCTTTTAAATATTTCCAGGGATGGGGACTCAACCACTTCCCTGGGCAGCCTCTTCCAATGTTTAACCACTCTTTCAGTAAAGACATTTTTCCTCATGTCCAATCTAAACCTCCCCTGGCACAACTTGAGGCCATTTCCTCTCGTCCTATCGCTAGTTACTTGGGAGAAGAGACTGACACCCACCTCGCTACAACCTCCTTTCAGGTAGTTGTAGAGAGCGATGAGGTCTCCCCTCAGCCTTCTTTTCTCCAGGCTAAACAACCCCAGTTCTCTCAGATGCTCCTCATAAGACTTGTTCTCCAGACCCCTCACCAGCTTCGTTGCCCTTCTCTGGACACGCTCCAGCACCTCGACGTCCTTCTTGTAGTGAGGGGCCCAAAACTGAACACAGTATTCGAGGTGCGGCCTCACCAGTGCCGAGTACAGGGGCACGATCACTTCCCTAGTGAAGTGCCAGAAAGCTGGCTACCCTTTAGACTAAAATCACTAAAATTGTGCCATTGTTAGTTACTAGACCTCACTGAAACTGTAAATACATAGAATGAACCTAAATTTCTGCAAACTACTTTCTAACCGCCAAGAAGCATTTGCTCTTCCAAATTTTCCAGCTCTTTAGAGGTGGCATTTTCAGCTCCCAAATGCCAAGACTTTCTCTCTTTCCTATCAGAGCATGGCTTTTTTAGACCTTTACCTTCAGGACCTCTGAATGACCATTAAGCCTCCTCTGCAACACAGAACATCCCTAAATTCAGCCAGGGTTGCTCCTAAGGGTGATACAGTTCTGCAGTTGGTCCATGGGAATGACAACCAAGAGAGATGTTACTGCCAGTGGTTTCAGCTTCTCACCGAACTACCAACCCATGGTACGCAGCAGACAAATCGACATCAGCTTGGGATTTCTGCAGACCCAGCAAAGGCAGCTGCGACCAGTCATTGTCTCAAGACTTAAAAGCTAAAATTGAGAATCTCTTTTAAATTAAGGTGGAAATTCCACCCTTGTGAACTCTTTTCTGACACCCAGGTTATTATGTGCACTGCTTTGCTTGATACCATTCACAGAATTAAC